TTTAGGGTTTAGGGCCTAAAACTCGCTGGAAGGAGCGCCAGCACCGGGCGACCAGATCTTCAATATGCCGCCGGCCTGGAGATTTTGGTTTGAACAGGTTGGAGAAGTGGGGCTCGAGATTGAGAGCTGTGGGAAGTGTGTGGTCGTTCAAGAGGGATGGCTGACAGTAGGCAAGCTGCTCCATGTCGCTGGTTTTGCACTTGTGGCTCCGGCTTGGTGTTATTGTTCTTCTGGATTTCGGGTTCGGCAGCTCGAGCAATTCCAGGCAAACCTTGGGGCGTGGAGTACAGGTATCACCGTTCTCCAATCAATGTGGCTGAAGCCGCTGTCTATGTGGTGTCTTGGCCTTGGTCGTCAGTGATGATACTGGCGCTAGTGACCGCGAGTGGTGACAATAATCATGAGCAACAAGGAGCTGCCGCTGCTGACATCGATGGCGACGCCGACATCGATGATGATGATGATGANNGATGACGATGATGATGATCATGATGATGTGCGAGCGTCCCGGCACCGTCCCGGTCGTGGTTGGCCATGGTCGTTGTGGTGGTGGCGTCGGTGGTCGTCTTTGTGCTTTTGTCACATCGTCCTTGTGGTCGTCATCGTGCTTTTGTTCGTCATGGACGCCACTTTTCTGAGGATGCTGGATGCTACGGTGCGGACACGGTCCTGGACAGATGCCTGGGACGCACCGTGCTCGGCGATTCAGGGGTTGGCTCTCTTAGGCCTTAGCCTGAATGATGTTCTAAGACTCTATAAGTAGAGGTTTGAGAGTGGCAGTTATTTCTGGCAAGAGTTGATGCCTTGCGATCTAGAGTGCATGGGTCTGGAACAGCAGTGGCTTGAAGGTTTCAACACCATTCGAGGCTCTTGGGTATCGCATCAGATGCTCGTTATTTGACTTACAGTATTAGCCATGCAGGGGCCGAAGCAATTGCTTATATAGTATCCCTTTCTAGTCCCCATATTTAGCTACAGCAGAATATACTCCAAAGCCCTGTTCTGGTTGACTTTCAAGGCTCCGATATCATAGAACCCTTTTCGTAACCCTTCTAGATCCCTTTGAATGAATCCTCAAAACGAACTCTTGGACTATTCTGCGCTTTCTGAGCCGATACGACTTTCGCTGCCTCTCACCAGGTCTTAGACCTGCTCCTTCGATGCGGCCGGAAGGCCGGCAAGGGAGTTTGGGCTCGTGAGCTTAGGGAGGGGACCACCGAATTTTAAAAAGCCTCATAGGCCCCATATAAGCCGTAAGAAGCATGGTTTCAACGTTGTGTTTACGTCGGGTTCGGGAACTAAGTCCTGACAGTTTGCCTTGACCCTAGGCAGACAAGTACTTCGTCTCCATCTTGACGAAAAGCCTCGAATCCTCCACGGATAAGCGCAGCGTGCGCCGGGGGATTAGCCTCGTGGAGGCCTTCATTGACCAGCAGAAAGAGGATGTTGATGAGATCGTCTTCAACTCTTTGCTGAACGTCCTTGGACAGACTGGTGACATGGTGAAACTGCAGCAGACGCTGAACAAGATGAACGGCTACGGGGTTGCACCCTCTGCTGTTACCTTTGGCACCGTTGTGAAGGCTTACGGGCGAGCCAGGGACACCGACTCGGTCATCAAAGTTTGGCATCAGATGCGCAGTCGGTGCTTGGGAATCAACCCGGTCACATGTGGTTGCGTCTTAGATGCCTGTGTGAAATGCAACAGCCTGGACAAAGCAATGGCAATCTTCCAGGAGATGCGCATGCAGGGCATGCACAAGAACACAGTTCTGTATGCGACGTTGATCAAAGGCCTCGCGAAGATGCGCGACCTGCAGGGAGCCATGAACCTGTACCACGAGATGAGAATGGAGCAGGTGCCGTGCAACCTCGTCACCTTCAACTCTCTCATGGATGTGTGCGTGCGCTGCAGTGATCTTCAGACGGCTGCATACTTCTTGCAGGACATGATGCAGATGGGCATTGAACCCGACCTGATCACCTTTAGTACCCTCATCAAGGGCTACAGCCAAATCGGGCAAGTGCACAAGGCTTTGGCCCTGTGGAAAGAGCTGAAGGCCAGGAACCTGAAGTGCGACGAGATCATGTGCCCAGGCTGCCACTAGTTATGTTGCCACATTTTTTCGCTTTCCTCCTGTGACGCTCGTCTAGGGTCCCGTGCACCTTCAGCAAGAGCATGTACCTTAAACGAACAATCAAGCTGGAAGAGCCCTGCTATTTACGTGCTCCTGCTCGTATCAAAATACTCTCAGCGACCTGAACGGCCCTTCCATTGCCCTCTCCGTCCCACGTGGCGCCTTCGAGGTACAACAGCCTCATCGATGGCTGCGCCAAGTCCCAGAAGTTTCTCGGTGTTACCTAGGGTCTAGGGTGTCTTTGCAGATCGTTGCTCCTACTGTGTCTTTATCGCCTGGCGCCCTATTTACGACCCAGAGAAGGAAGCCCAAAGCTCAAGCCCGAGCCCGAAACCCTGAATCCTAAACCCGAAACCCTAAACCCGAAACCTTAAACCCTAAACCCTAAACCCGAAACCCTGAACCCGAAACCCGAAACCCTAAACCCTAAATCCGAAACACTAAACCCTAAACCCTAGACCCTAAACCCTAAACCCTGCACCCTCAACCCTAAACCCTGAACCCGCAACCCTAAACCCTAAACCCGAAACCCTGAACCCGAAACCCGAAACCCTAAACCTTCAACACTGAACCCTGATCCCTAAACCCTGAACGTTCAATCCTAAACCCTAAGCCCTCCATGTTTCGGGCCCAGGTTCAACGAGGGCATGAGGGTCTTCCAGGAGCGCGGCAGGTACTTGGAGGTTCAGGGTTTAGGGTTTAGGGTTTAGGGTTTAGGGTTTAGGGTAGATATAAGTGGAGCTATAAGTTCCCTGATGTGGGTTATAATTATAGTTACCCTACTTACAACCCCACTTATAACTACCCACGAACCTCCAAGTAGGCCCAAACCCACAAAGGCCCCCAAGGGCACTGGAGCCCCTGAACCCAAGATGCTATGCTCCGTATTAGGGTTTAGGGTTTAGGGTTTAGGGTTTTAGGGTTATAGGGTTTAGGGTTTAGGGTTTTAGGGCTTTAGGGGTTTAGTGTTTTAGGGTTTTAGTGTTTAATGTTATACAGCCCACCCTAAACCCTAAACCCTAAACCCCAAAAGGAAAGAGTTCCTGACGCCGACCTGCACCTGGGTGCAGGACATGCTCCAGTCGCGAGTGCAGCCCTCGAACATCACCTTTTCCATCCTGGTGAAACTCCATTTCGAGGTGTCGTCGTTTAGGGTTTAGGGTTCAGGGTTTAGGGTTTAGGGGTTTAGTTTTTATGGGGGAGGGGAGGTTTGTGTGTGCAGTTTGGGGTTCAGGGATGTGGGGCGTCTAGACGATGGAAGCAGTGACCATTGGAGGAGTAAGGCGAGAAAGGGATCGTTTCAGGGTTTGCGACCTCTCATTCTGTAGTTTTACAGCAGCACAAGCTATGAGCGAACAGAAGCACAAATGTCAGCCCCCAATTCGCAAACACCGCAACCAACCCCAACGCCCAAATATATACCAACCCTCAACCCTAAGCCCTGCCTTTGCCCTAAATGATAGGCCCCCATATGGGTTATAACTACAGTTACCCTATTTATAACCCCACTAATAACCACCCATGAACCTCCAAGTACCCACCCTGAGCCCTGAACCGTTGGCGAAGAGCAACCATGATCCGACAGGTGGGGCAGATCGAGGAAGCTTTCCGATTGGTCTGCCCCTTCCGCTGGTTGTCGTCGCCATTGTGGTGGTATAGTGCTTTCACCCTAAACCCTAAACCGTAAACCCTAAGCCCTAAACCCAAGGGCAACAAGACTACTACTACTACTACTACTACTACTACTACTACTACTACTACTACTATTACTACGGTTGTTGTCGCCACTGTGGTAGCTTTCGAGCTGTGATCCGAAGGCAACGAGAATTTTACTACTGCTGCTACTGCTACTACTACTATTACTACTACTACTACTACTACTACTACTACTACTGCTAGTACTACTGCTACTGCTACTGCTACTGCTGCTACTACTACTACTACTACTACTACTACTACTAC